CTCTCTCTCTCTCTCTCTCTCTCTCTCCCCCATTCCCCCCACATGCAGAGTTGATTGCTTCCATAGAGATGTGTGGTCAAAGCAAAATGGTAACATGAAGTATTTTGGGAGTTCGGGAGTCACAATAAATATAGTATATAACTGGGTCACAAAGATGAAGGAGGAAATATTAAAGTTTATTAAAATGTATTATTCAAAGATGAAGAATCCTGAAGGGTTTACCCTGAAAATAGTAGTTTCCAAAGTTTTTAACCTATGAAATCATTTATTCAAATAAAAGATCATGTAGAGTCTCAGTATAAAATAAGTGATTGCCTCTCTGATTCCAATATTGGAAATCCTTTTCTATTGCCAGATCTGAAAAAATCTTAGAAGGTTAGGAAGAAACCAAATGATGGTTACTATACTTCTAACTAAATGGATATTGGTGCAAATCAGTCAAGGAATATACAAAAAACAATGAGTCTTACATTCTCCTCTCTAGCTTTAGAATTACTTTCAGCTCCCAAAGTCCCCAAAAATGTATTTTGGAGTCTTTAATGTATTGATACATCAGTTACAAATCCTCTAATACTAGTAGGCTACAGTGTAATCTGCTTCTAAATATGAAGCCCTCTCTGGGGATGACCTTATTTTTGTTTCAACATCATGCTTCGAGAATCAACTCCAGGGGGATAGGAAGGGCAGCAGAATAGAATAGACATTATAATTCTGTGTATATATATATAGGTGAGTCTATGACCAGTGTGATTCTGCAATCTGTACAATCAGAAAAATGAGAAATTATACCCCAATTGATTCAAATGTATGAATTGCCAAGATCATTGTAATGTCTTGTGTAGCTAATAAAAAAAAAAAAAGAAGGGGAAAAAAGAACCAACTCTAATTAAGAGTAATATTCTTACCTCTTTTTAAGTATTATACAATTATGGGACTTCCCAATGTCCTAAAGACAGGTTAGTGGAAAAGGCATTCTAGTGTTTGTTTGCATTCCTTTCTTATTAAGGCTCAATGACAGTGAAGGTGAGAAAATATTATGGAATAGTTGAATTTAGAAACAAATTTTATTTTMAACATTACATAGTAGGATAAAAATGAACTTTGAAATTAGACAATAACTTTCAAATTTGGCTCTGTGCATTTCTGGATGTTTTGATACATTCTAGCCCTTTGCCATGAGTTCTAAAAATCAAGTGTCTCTAGAGATAGGCAAATGATGCCTGAAGAGAAAAATTGCTCCTGGTCAAGAACCACTGGTTTACATCCATGCAGAATTCAAAATTTCTCATTTAAATTTTTCATATTTTCTAATGGACACATACTGATTCTCCATATTTATGTTACAGAGTATAATGATTTAGTACATGCATACAACATGTAATTATCAAATCAGGGTGATTACCATTTATAACTCCTTATACATTTATCATTTCTTTGTGTTTGGCAAATTCAAACTTCTTCTAGTTTTTCATAATTTGCAATAGGGTATTGTAAAGTATAATCACTTTACAGTGCTGCAAAATATTAGAACTTATTATATCTACTTAAATTTATTTTGTTCCTCAGTATTTAACCTCCTACTTTTCCTGGTCTCTACTAATAGCTATTCTTTCATCTTTGAGATAATATTTTACCTTCCACATTTGAGTGAGAACATGCTATGTTTCTCTTTCTATGTCTGGATTATTTCCTTTCAGAATGTCCTCTGATTCCAAGGGTAGCAAATTGTACAAAATGCTGCACAAGAATCCAAATTAATGATTTTTTAAAAAGTTCAATGAATTCCAAGAGGATGCAAATAAACTGAATAAATTTAGGAAAACAATGCACAACATGAAAGAACAATTCAATAGAAATTCAGAAGAAGAATCAAACACATATTCAAAATGGAAAACTCAGTCACCCAAATAAAAGGTTCAGTTGAATGCCTCATCAATATCTTGCTTTATGTCTCATTTTAAACTCATTGCTTTATGTCTCATTTATGTCTCATCGAGGGCTACAATATTTTAATTAACTCTGCCAATATGTTTACCCAGAGGTGTTGCCATTTCTGCCATTAATAATTTTTTTTTGTTCCCAAGAAAGGCAGAATCATACTTTTTTTTTTTTTTTTCTAACAGATTGAGTTGGTGCTTAGTGATTTTTCTCCAGATCTGCCAGGCTAGCACTTTGTGAGTTGCCAAAAATTTGTTGGAGAGTTAGATTGTTTTGGGCAACATGTATAACTCATAGGAGAATATAGTTTTATCTCTCCTGGAAAGTCACCTTCTCCACACATATGGCTTAAACAGATTTTATTTCAGCCCAAGAAAATGAAGCCATTATGAAGTTATGTTTTCATATGAAAAACAAAAAACAAAACCCAGTTTAATAACCTGCTAATAAACTCAATAAGATTTTTTACACCAGGGAAAGTAAATCATGCTCTGGGTCCCAGTCCTTCATTTAGGAAGAAAGCTAATAATCTTTTCTGGCGTTTTGTGGGGGATAGAGTGATAGGACAATAATTTCTATGTGTGAAACYTTTCATTTAAGGACAGTGTTGGTACATTGTTGATCTCTGTTGTTCTTCCAAGACTTTTATTGTGGTAGAAGTGCCTTCTCCCATGTCTACTCATTTTTTTTTTTTTCCTTTCTGATCCTTCAGCAAATTTCAGTTTGTTTCAAGATGGTCCTATTGGAAAGACACTACAAGCAAGTAAATAGGGGGAAATTGGGAACATAATCACTATTTCATCTGCTTCCAAATGAGTATTAAGAACTGGAATCTTTTGACTTCATTATCGAGTACTCCCTGTGTTAGTAGCTTTCAGAATCTAGTTCTAGCTTTATTTTTATTTTTGTTTTCCTTCCTCAAGTGGGAGCAAAGAAGGGAAACAGCCTTGGAAGTCTCCCAGGGCAACCGTCAACTCCTCTGCAGACGTTTGCCTCCAGCCCAAGGAGGAGGAACGTTCTGGTCTGAGCCTTATGCGCAGGCGCCTCCGGCCTCCTAGTCCTCCCACCCAGGTGGGGTGGGTTTGGGGTTTGGGGTTTGGGGTTTGGTGCTGACAAAGCGGGGGTCTGGAGATTCCAGGCCACTTTGTAAGGAGACACAACCAGGTAAGCCTTGCCCCAGGTCCCAGCAGGGCACCTAGAGACCATGAAGGAAACCTTAGAGAATGTGGAGCCGGAGGAGACTGTATCCAGCAGAAGGACTTCTAAGGACGAGGAAGTTGAGACTTTAGGAAATCGCAAGAAAATTTCCCCGTACCTGACAATGTTGCCAATGGCCTTTGCGAAGTTTCACAGAGCTCCTCGGAAGAAAAAGGCGAAATCTCCTCCCCCAAAATCACCAGACTCGGATCATGTCAAGGAAGGGCCCTGTGGCATTGGTTGTATCGTTGTCCCCTGCTGTGAGAGTTTTAACAGCATTCGYTGCTTCCTGTTTTTCTTCTGCATGCTGCTCTTCACTCAAGGTGAGCCCAACGGGTGGGGATCATTCTAGTAATGGAAGTGGTCAGGTGGACCAAAGATGCAGGTTTGGTGGGGACGGAGAGAAAAGAAGGGTGTGTGCTGGGTGTCATATTGTGGGCCCGAGTGAAGAAGTTTTTTTAGACTTGTTCTCCAAGTATGATTGGAATCAAAGCTGTTTGGGTTATTGCTTCACTTCCTCATGGACATGATTGACATAATCCATCCTATAATTTGGGAGTGGTAGGGCTCTCATCTCCAAATAACCTGTTGGAGAAGGGATGTTGCTGTCATTTAAGGTGGTTTGGCTACCAGTTTTTAAGTTCTAGGTGGAATCTCTTGGAAACTGAAATTGAAAACTGTGTGTCTGCAATTGCCAGCTTGTTTCAGCTTCTGCCTCCAAATTTTGAGACAYTCTGGCTAAGCCACTTTCTATTTGAATTTTTTTTTTCTTCATCTGTAAATTAGGGGAGAGTTATGGGACTTCAGGTAGTCTATACTGGAGATGACTAGTAAGTTAATTTTTGTCCAAATGTTTGAAAAAGGTGAAGTTGAGTCTTTAGACATGCATTCTCCTCTCCTCCCCAATTCTCATCACTCCCATTACATCTAGGTCTTTTATTAGCTTGCTTATACTGATGACACCGTAATCTGACAAACCTGATCTCCTTTTTGCTGTCAAATCCTGTGTCTAAATAAATGCAAGGAAAAGGTTTTATGAGAAAAGAACCATTTGAGAAGAATAAATGAGTAGTCATCAGTTTGTCTTCAGATTATAACAAGTTTCTTGCAAAGAGAGAAATTTGACCTATGCCTTAATAATTTAAGTACAGTTCTGATAGCTAGGGATGAAGTTGATGWGTATATACAGAGTAAGGAAATGAATGAATGAATAAGTGTTCTGTTTTACAAAGGCTTGTTTCAGAATGGTGAATGTCAAATTTGACTGGATAATGGTTTTATGTAAGCACCAAAAGGGAGTAATATATTGCCGTTATATAATAACTCTACTAAGTGGATGGGGCAGAGAATACATTCAATAAATGTATGTTGAATGCTCAAATAAACTTAAAAGGAAGGAAAATAAATATTGTGGTCACATTATGAAAGCCTTTAAATATATGAATTCAAATTTTAAAAGGACACTAATTGTTTTTTAATTCCCACTATGTAAGATGCTTTACAAGCATTATCTCCATATAATTTCATTATTGCGTGGGTAATGAGGAGCCATTGAAGATTTTGAACAAGTGGTTGGCCATAAATGTTTGAGCTCCATTGCTTAACTAACTTCATATGATTTACCAACTCAGTATAGTGATAATATTGAGTGTGTCATTTATGAAATGATATAGTTCTTGATTTGWATGTCAATTGATACATGTATGATTTTAGTTGTATTTTAAACAATCCTGAAATCATTTTAAAATTACACAAAGGACATCATAGAAATGCAAAAAACTTCTGATGGTGGCTCGAGTTTTTAGGATTTTACCATACTTACTCCTTTACCTTCTGTTTACTTGCACATATAGTCTTCGTTTGGGATATGATTCCTTATTAGCAACTAACTTATGGTAGTCCCATATATCCATGAGGAATGTGTTCCAAGATTTCCAGCAAATGCCTGAAACCATGGGTATTACTGCCACTCTATTTTTTTCCTTAMACGCATACCTACAATGAAGTTTAATTTTTAAATTAGCCAGAGTAAGAGATTAAAAACATTARTAAATAGTAAAATGGAACAATTATAGTAATATATATGTTTTCTTTCTCTCTCTTGTTCAAAGTAACATGTTATACTGTATTTACTTTTATTTTTGTGATATCCAGACACTTACTTTGATAACTGAGATGACTGCTAAGTGGCTAATGGCCAGGTAGCATATACAGCATGGAGGTAATGGACAAATGAATTATTTGCATCCTGGATGGGGCAGTGTGAGATTCTACCATGCTACTCATCAATTTAAACCTTTGAATTTGTTTTCTGGAAATTTCTGTTTACTATTTTCAGAAAACTTTATATATATATATATATACACACACACACACACACACACATATACATGTAAGTAATACATGTAAGTATATATTTGTGTGTATATATATATATATATATATATATATATATATAGAGAGAGAGAGAGAGAGAGAGAGAGAGAGAGTCTCTTGCATGCTAGGCCATAATCTATTTATCTATSTATCTATYTATCCATYTATCTATATATGGTTGACTGAAACCACGGAGAGAGAAACTTTGGAGAGGGGAGACTACTGTAGTCCAGCATGCTTCTTTTCAAAGTTAGACATTTTTCCTGCATAACCACCATGCAATCCTCACTGTCATGAAGTGGCTCCATCTATGTGTTACAAAATATGATACTGTCTGCTTTTCCTTTTGGTCCAGAATTCCATCCAGGAATCCACATTACATTTAATTATCATATTTTAGAAGTTTTCTTTAACCTAGAGCACTTCCTCATTTTTCTCTGATTCTTAAGTACTTGAAAAATTTAAAGAATGTGATTCTTTCATTTTGTATGTTGAACTTCAACCTGAGTGTGATGTTTCTTTACAGTTAAACTTAAGCCATGTTTCCCTCCTACCTTCCTCCTTCACTTCCTTTATTCTTTTCCTTTATTTTATTTAGGTATAATTTAGAAACAATAATACTTCTCTACCTTTTTTTTTCAGTATTAGGCATTGAACCCAGGGTCTCTTGCGTGCTAGGCGCTCTACCACTAAGCTACACCCCAAATCCCCAAATTTATTATTTTTAAAGTATACAATTCAATGAGKTTTAGTTAATATACAGAGAAAGTATATAAGTACATGCCATCACCAACACAATGAAGTTTTAGAATCTTTCCATCACACTAACAGTTTCTTTATGTCCATTTTCTATCAAATCTTGCTCTTATCACTTATCTTAACCAATGATTGATTGACTTTGTGTCATTAGTTTTGTRTTTTTTAGAATTTAATATGCATGGAAGCATACAGTTTCTAGTATTTTGTGTTTTGCTTCTATTAACAGCATGATGTTTTTGAGATTGATTCATGCTTTATATTAATAGTTTGTTCTTTTTTAGTATGACTAGTATTCCATTGTTCAGAATTACTACACATATCCACTCACTAGTTATAGATTTTTGTGTTGTTTCCAATTATTTTGTCTATTATGAATAATGTTATTATGAGTAGTTGCACACAAATTTTGTGTGGATTTATGTTTTTATTTCTTTGGGAATGATGCCTAGAAGTGGAATTATAGTGTCATATGTTAAGTTTTGTAACAAGTATATGTTACATTGCTGGTAGGAATACAAATTGGTGCAACCACTCTGGAAAGTGRATGGAGATTCCTCAGAAAACTTGGAATGAAACCACCATTTGACCCAGTTGTCACCTGCCTTGGTATATGCCCAAAGGACTTAAAATGAGCATATTATAGTGAYGAAGCTGCATCAATGTTTACAGCAGCTCAACTCACAATAGCTAAACTATGGAACCAACCTAGATGCCCTTCAACAGATGAATGGATAAAGAAAACATGATATATATAATACATACATACATACAATATAATATTGTTCANTTTCTTTCTTTAGTGTTGTATAGTTTTCATTGTAGAGGTCTTTAAGACACCTCTTTTGTTAAGTTGATTCCCAAGTATTTTATTTTATTTTTATTTTTTTGAGGCTATTGTGAATGCATAGTTTTCCTAATTTCTCTTTCAGAGGATTCATCACTGATGTATAGAAATGCATTTGATTTATGGGTATTGATAAATTTATGAGTCAGGTACCTTGCTGAATTCATTAATTAATTCTAGAAGTGTTTGGGTGGAGTTTTTTTTAATTATCTAAGTATAGAATCATATTGTCAGCAAATAATGATAGTTTAAGTTCTTATTTTTCTATTTGTATCCCTTTAATTTCTTTTGTCTGTGTAATTGCTCTGGCTAGAGTTTCAAGGACTATGTTGAACAGAAGTGGTGAAAGAGAGCATCCCTGTCTTGTTCTAGTTTTTAGAGGGAACACTGCCAATTTTTCTCCATTTAAAGTGATGTTGGCCTTAGGTTTAGCATAGATAGCTTTTCCAATGTTGAGATTTGTTCTTACTACCACTAGTTTTTCTATTGTTTTGAACATGAAAGGATGCTATATTTTGTCAAATGTTTTCTCTTCGTCAATTGATATAATCATATGATTCTTTAAGTCTATTGATGTGATGAATTATATTTATTGATTTCCTTATGTTGGACCATCCTTGCATCCCTAGAATGAAACCTACTGTTTTTTAAATATGTTTTTGTATGGGATTTGCCAGAATTTTATTGAGAATTTTTGCATCAATGTTCATCAAGGATTTTTGGCCTAAAATTTTATTTCCTTGATGTGTCTCTGACTAGTTTTGGTATCAGGATGATACTAGCTTCAAAGATTGAGTTTTCTAGCTCATGAAATAATTTGAGGAGTATTGGTATTAATTCTTCTTTGTAGGTCTTGTAGAACTCAGCTGTGACTCCATCTGGTCGTAGGTTTTTCTTGTTGGTAGGCTTTTGATAACGTCTTTTATTTTCTTACTTGAAATTGATCTGTTTAAATTGTATATGTCCTCTTGACTCAGTTTGGGTTGTCATATGCCTCTAGAAATTTGTTTTTTTAAAAGGTTTTCTATTTTACTGGAGTATAAATTTTCAAAATAGTTTCTAATTGTCTTCTGTATTTTAGTAGTGTCTGTTGTGATATTTCCTTTTCATCAAGAATTTTAGTAATTTGAGTTTTCTCTCTCCTTCTTTTCATTAGGGTGGCTAAGGGCTTGTCACTTTTATTTATTTTTTTTCAAAGAACTAGCTTTTTGTTTTGTCAATTTTTTTGAAATTTTGTTTTTTTGTTTCAATTTCATTGATTTCTGCCCTTACCATAATTATTTCCTGTCTTCTACTACTTTTGGTGTTGGTTTGTTCCTTTTTTTCTAGAGCNGATGGGGAATG